TTTTTTTTTATGGCATAAGCCGGTAAACGAGCAGACGGATCACCTGATGGTAAGCAATCGGCGTCGCCCATGGACACCTGGAACACCAGAGGCGTTACAAGTGCGTTACCGGCCTTTTGGGGATTAGGAGTTTGAGGATCGTTGGGGATTCAGGGATTGGGGAGATTGGGGAAGGGGAGAGTAATTGGGCCTCCGGTAACCTCACTCACACGACGAAACACAACGCAAGCGTTGCTTCACGTCGGTTTTCTGTGAGGCCGTGGTATCACTCCGGTCGAGCCGGCCCATTCGTGCCGAAGCATGGCTCTCCCACACTTAAATTTAATTTATAATATGTATAGTATATAGTAACATATAGTAAGATAATGACATCTAATGAGTCATGATCTTATTATTGAAGCTTGAAGCCATGACTTGTATTGATTGAGCGAAGGAATATGAAGCGGGCGTGGTAGTGTGTGTGACCCTTGCAAATGACTCATGTACTCATAACGATCAATAATCGTGCTTGCTTTGTTTTATTCATTACGTTTTAAATGATATTTAAATTTAAAATCCGTTTAATTTAAATAAACTAAAAATTACGATTAAATTTACTCAATTAAAATTAAATATAAATTTACTCACGTAAATATATAGTAAATGGGAATAGTCCCTCTGCGATTCGGAACTAGTAAAGATTTTCTCAGTATATTTATATGAGGAACTCGTAATTTTTACTTAATTCAGTATGTTTCACGATAGTTATTATAAAAACATAGCAGACCGTGTAATATCTGCATAATATGTGTAACTTTTCAGACGTATATGTATAGGTATCATAATATAAATGCAATGATAATCGAACAATATTAATTATTCAACAATGCAAATACCATCCACCTATCGCCTGGTATGTTATCTATAGTACGAGCGTAGTCCTTGATTGTTATGATCTCATCATCAACCCTTAACTGTGAGACTATTATAGACTTCTTCCATGTAAGAGGTTTGGCAAAACCTTTGCGCTTGACAGGCGAATTTGAGATCATCTTATTTTTTTTTGTTTTTTGTTTGTTTCTTTGTTTGAACGCGCTAATCTCCGTAACTACAAGTCTGATTTGAATAATTGTTTTTGTGTTGGATATCGCATTGATCGAGGATGGCTATAGGCTATAAAACATCACGCTACGATCAATAGGAGCTGAGCAGAGCGTGTGAAACCGCGCGGAAGTAGCTAGTACTATTATAATTATGAGGCTGAAGAGTTTGTTTGTTTGAACGCGCTAATATCAGAAACTACTAGTCCGATTTGAAAAAATATTATTGAGTGTAATGTTCTTGTGTAATATGCCCCTCTGCCTACCATTTCGGGGATAAAAGGCGTGATGGTATTTTTTATTTAAAAAAATATCTGTTGTCTTAGTTTTAATAATTTTGTAATTACTTAAGGGGCCAGTAGAATACCAGCGCAAGGCCCTGTCTTGCACATGCTGAACTGGTCCCATTTCACCGCAGACTTGGGACATGAACATATATCCATCAGTACCTACTAATAGAATAACACATGTTTACATGCCACTTGTTTTTTAGCGTGAAATAAAGTTTATTTTCTTTCTTTACTTCCAAAATTTCTTGTAACAATTAACATTGTAAAATTATTATCACATCTAATTACCATACTTATTTATTTATAACTTCATGTACCTACACCACACAGACTATATTACAAAGGACGACAATATTACAAGCATGAGGTACATAGGTAGATACTTCGTGCAAATTGGAGTGGAATTCTTTACCAGAGTCTTTTCTTGTTTCCTGAATGGTATATATGTATAACCTGGATATCTTCAAGGCCCGAGTGAATAGGTAGCTTATGGGCAGATGCGCCCCATAATAGGACTCATAATCGCTTACCACCAGACGAGACAGTGGTCAAACGTCGGCTCATCAAATATAAAAAAGTTCTTATTCATATTCCACGCGCCACTTATATGCGACTTGCTTTCTGCAGGAACTTACGACACAAGAGTTCCCGTACTATCAGTCTCAGAACAATGAGAGTATAGGTATCGTCTGCTTGCTTATGAAGACGGTCTGCTGGATATCCATGATGCTGCCCTTCATATTCCTCATGGGCCGGCTCCTGCAAGAACGTGCCACCGGCATACAGGTACCATTTTACATAATTATAACTTTGACATGTGTGTATGTATATTTGTCCGCGATTGTCTCGCGAGCAACTGAACCGATTTTGATGTGGTTTTCAGAAAAGTGTTCGTTACAGCTAGGAGACGGTTTTAGTATAAGTATTAGTAAACCGGCTCCAAAAAAGAGGGGGTTTAAGTCGGGTTTTTTTAACGTAGTCTATAAGAATTGCTATTAATTTCAATAACATGGATCTTTTAATTGACCGATAATTAAGCTACTTGTGATAAATATGGCTGATTAATGTCCAAATACTTAAGCGACACTCAATTTTAAGGTGCGCTTAAGTGTAGTTACGTCAAAATTTAGTAGCCTTTCAGTATTCGGGCGAAAGTTTCTATTAATCCTAAGTAACAAATAATTTCACTGCTACACAGTTACAGTCGTTGCACGAAATGTTTAATTAGGCTAACAAACAGTTAATAAGGTATTATACAACAGGACCCCAACTTATATGATATTTAAACTTCAACCTGCTTTCAGCTTTTCATAGAATAAAAGCTAATCACATGTTATTTATTGTTGTGTTTTCTCATCTTACAGGAACTGATAAAAATGGTGGGAGTTTCTCAAAACATTCTAGGGTTATCACACTTCCTAAACGTGTTGCTGAGCGGGCTAGTATTCTCTATCGGAGGTACCATACTACTGAAGACGACCTCCAACCCTCTCATCAACAACTCCAACGGATTCCTCATATTCCTGATGCTGCTTCTCTACTTCAACACTATCATGGCCATGGCCTTTGTCTGCAGCTACGTTTCGAAAGGAAGTAAGTCGATTTTTGCCTCCCTTCGCTGAGCCTAAGTAATTTACCGTAATCACTAAAAAGTAGGGGTCTGCCACATTTTTTCAGTGTATAGAGCGACAAACGAGCTGAAGGATCCACCTAAAGAGAACGAGGCAACACAAGTTCGTTACACGGCTTTTGAGGTTAGGAATTTTAGGATTGGTAGAAGAGTTAGGTATAAAGATGGTTGGCAGGCCACAACTGTGCGCTTCTCATGTAGCTTTCTGCCTCGGACAGCAAAACTGTGGAATGATCTGTCGTCGGTGGTATTTCCGAACCGATACGACCTTTAAGAAAATAGCGTACTTCTTTTTAAAAGGCCGGCA